AGCAGTGCCTTTGGGCACACACCACACACCCCATCTGCCAATGTCCCGCTGCTTCTTCTGGCTCACCTTTTTTCCCCTGGAGCGTTAGCACTGATCTCCTCACAGACACTGCCTACTCTAGCCTGTCATTCTCTAGTCTTGGATGGGGCTGGATGGACTGGGAGCTTCTCGGGGCAGAAGCACAGGCTGCCTAGACAGGTATAAATAAAAGGTTGTAGGACTGCATACAGATGAGAACTAACACAAATCTCTCTGCTTCAAAATGCAGGTGTTTCCAAGGGCTGTGTACTCTGACCATTTCTTTCAAGCAAATCTTTTACGCGCTCCATGAGGATGGAAAAGCTAAGTGCAAGGAAAGGCAAGTCTGGCCTGCCCAGCTCCCCTCTGAGGAAAGCAGCATCCTCTCCCGGGGTTAAAGGCAGGTGCCTGCGTACCATCCCTAAAGACCTCCTGCTGTACTCAGATAGGGCTTCTCCCACAGGTTCTCTCCTTTCAAACCACCGCCCTCTGTAACACAGCTTTGTTTCAGGGTGGAGCAAGGGCAGTTTTGAATGAACCCTCCCTCCCCTTCCGTGTTCACCTGGCAAAGTGACTCTGCCATAGAGCACTTTGTGTAGGTCTGGCTCAGAGGTCTGTATCACCTGGGTTAGGGAAAAGAGGCGCTTAAGAAAATCTTCCGGCTCTACCAACACCAACACCTCTTTCTCCTCTTCAGTCTTCACCATGGGGCCATCCTAAAGAAGATGAAATCATTTCCAACACGAGCAGGGGTCCAGCATGAAAGCAGACAGCAAGTCTCCACCTGTGCAGAGCCCACGCTGTAAGAGGCACCAAGACTCGCAAGGCTACGTCAATACTACGCTGGTGAAAGACATGGCTGAACTGAGAGGTAAAAACCCTCCCCGAACAAGCAGATCAGCGAAGGTGCAAAAATAGCCTGGCGAGGAAGGCAGTGACAACTGCCGAAGTTGCTACCTAAGACGAAAGGACACAAAATGGCTTTGTCTGCACCGCACACTGTTAGATGACCACGTTATCTGCACCTACGTTATCTGTAGTCTATTACATGACCGCAGCATCTGCAATGTTTTATCCAGCAATGGCAAAAATTCGAGTTCTGCCTCCGCCTGAAATTCCTGTAGTGGAGCATGAGAACAGCCTACCTCAGCCTCCACTGCCACGCAGATACCGTTTGACACAGAACCTTCCGAAACCAAGCTGAAATGGGAACCGTATTTGGTACCAGAAGGTACCTGCCCTTTCAGGTTCCCAGTAAGTGGGCTTCAAGAAGCAATCACTGGGCTTTCCAAACGAGGGGCCCTGCAGCAAATTTGCCCAGCCTCTTCCAGACGTGCAGCTGTTGCCCGTGGCAGCATGCCATGCACAGCATCTGGGCTGGAAATGCTGCCGAGTACCCAAGCGAAACCTCTGTAGCGATGACTTGTAGTGGTCTCATTCTTGCTTACTACAGGTTCCCCGGGCTCACCCTAGAGGTGTGCCTGCCTAAAGCAATGAGATGTAGATGTTTAGGACATTGGCTTTGGAATAATCTGTGTGAGAATCACACCCAGCTCCATTCCCCAAGCTAACAGGTCACCAGTAATCAGCGTTTCTGAGGCTGATGACTCCAATGCCCGGCCTAGAGAGGCAAGTCAAAGCTTTCTCCTCACAGCACATCGGTTGCCACCTTGCATGTACAGAGAAGATGAGAAGGACTCACTGGAGTGGACGGAGCGCTTGGCACGTTTCTCCTCCAGGTTATGCTGCAGGGAATTGCCTGAGGCTCAAAAGAGTATTTGCAGTCCAAGGAACTTAAAACCTTCACCCAAGCGTCTGAGCCGGGATCTTTGAGGAGACCTGTGAGGAGGACAGAACGACGCTGACGTGAGAAAAAGAGGTATTTCATCAGCATTAATCAACAACAACAAAAGCGCAAGTGGAAAACGAGGAATTCTGCAAGCATGGGAAGTCTGGCTTCCTCCAGCACGTGCGCTTGCTGGCTGGATTGCTAACCGAGTTACTGACATCATCACTGACCATCTCTGCAGGCACCTATAAAATTGTCCTTCTTCACTCCAGCCAAGTACCTGGACAGTGACAGGCAATTTGCCACAATGACTGTAAAAATCAGCTCGTGCATTCTAGGTTACTAACGGCAAACTTTCAAAGCCGGCTCTTCCGTTCCCCCAAGAACAAATTTTATTAAATTGGTAGAAACTTAATTATTTTTGAAATAGCTCTCTCTCTGTGAAAGAAGACTGAAATTAGCCAACAGGCCAAGCAGTTCGTAGCTAGGAAGCCGGGTTTCACCACCCGTGCATGGCCCCGACAGACCTCCCTCGATGCTCACTTCAGCCCCGTTCCCAGCGCTGCTGGGCACACTGCTACTCCAGCAGCCGGGCTGGACACACACGTGGATGTCACCGGGGAGCCCACGGAGAACGTGCTCTTAATTACTGGCTCTGCAAGTACTGTCAATCGTAGCTAAGGTGAGTCGACACCATCCGTTAGGCACCTTCCTTACAGCTGTCTGTAACCTCGTCAAGCCAAGCGTTTGGACGGTTTTCTTTGACAGATACCTGCTCTAGACTGAGTTTATTTGAGACGTTTCAACAAAACAGCACAGCTGTTTCTAAGAATGCAAGGGGAGGGTTAACAACATGCTGCTTGTCCATGTTAAAAATATCAACACCTTGTTTGATGAGGGCGCTTTGCCAGCGGGACTGCCCGGCCCAGCCCCAGGCTGCTCCCTGGGGCAGGACGGACCTCAGGGGGCAGGGCTGGGTGCTGCAGGCACAGGACAGGCAGAGAGCTCCTCCGTGCTGCCTGCGCTCCCTCTGCCGGCACCCGGGAAGAGGAGGAGAAAAGCCTCTGGCTGGCGCAGCAGTGAGGTGAGGGGTGGAGAGGAGGGTTGGGAAGGCAGGAACGGGGCAGAAGAGATGAGCAAGAACTAAACTGATCAGCACCAGGACAGAGGGGAATGTGAAACCCAGGGGCAGAGAGAAACTCTGAGGACTCGGTGGGTGCTGATACAATCGCCACAGTGGAGTTTTAAAAGCGAAAATCACAGGGTATTTTCTCTGGCGGGCTGTGCGTTACACCAGCCAGCCTGCCTCACCAGGCTGACCCTGCTCAAACGGGATCGCTCACCTGGAGAAAGGCCGAGAAAATACACTTCTGGAACCTCCACCACCTCCCGAGCACCGGCTGTACCCACGACTTCACAGCAAATTCCACAACAGAACAGATGACAGCATTTATCCTACAGAGACTTTTCTACTGGCAGAATAATAAAGACAACAACAGGACTGTGTTGGAGCAAACAGGGCGATGAACGGGCCGGCAGCCCTGCTCCGCCTGGGACAGGGGATTAGAAACACGCTCCAGGCAGTCAGATGTGTCAGAGGATCAGCAGCGGCACTTGCGAGTGCCGGGAAAGAGCCAGGATCCCAGGGACACGCTGGCGGCCAGCGCTGCAAGATAAGCCACCTCATTTTCTGCCAAGGAAGCTCCGTGCCGTGACCTATGGAGTCCTGATGCCCTGAACGTCCTCCCTGACCAGGCAGAGCAGCTCTGGAAGCAGACCCAGCCCTCTGTGAGGCACCTGGAGAACATATTTCAGGCACTGGTATTTCCAGAGGCTTATCTTGGAGCTGTCCCAAGAAGCAAGTTCCAGATAGGCAACTGCCCTGCCCGAGCAGGCGACCGAGCTTGGGACTGCAGGTCTTCTTATCTCTTCATAACGACCCTTGAGGACGTGAGCAAATTAACAGCCGGGAGCTCGCCGCCCCAGAACTAGGTCAGAAACACACGCTCTATAAAGACGAGCTCCCAGAGCCCTCCGGGGCTGAAGCGTTGCCCTTCCGCTTCTGCAACAAGGCCCGGAGAAGTTCAGAGCTCATTTTCCAGAGGTGCCAGCCTGGGCCTGTCAGCCCCGGAGCTGGAGGGTTGGTCCTCTCTCCAGGATGCTCAGGAACAAGGCGGGGACCACAGCAGCTGCCCGCTGCAGTCTAACCACAGCTAGTCTGCAGTCACGACAGCAACGACAGAGATAACGAAGCCGAAAGAGCCCGATAAACAGCCAGGGGGCCGTGTGGGCCCCAGGCCAAGGGCCCAGGAGCAGCTCGGACGTAAGGGCTCAGAGGGGACAGCCGGGCAGCCAGGAGGCCCCGGGCGTCCCACCCCCCACAGGTAGAGCCCGGCCCCCCCCGGGCCGCCCCAGCGGGCTCGG